GAATACGAAGCAGCCACAGCAGCAGCAGCCGGAGGTGCTAAGGCTAAAACGACAACAACAACACAAACCGCAGATGTATCCATTCAGAAGGCATTAGACAGCGAAAAAGCTACAGCTATTAACGACAAAGTGATGGAATTTATAGCGCTCGACAACCAGCCCTTTTCTGGCGTCGAGAACCCGGGTTTTCGTAACCTAATAGCCCTTTTGGAGCCGCGTTACACCATCCATAGCCATCGCTTCTTCTCTGACATCCCCTGCCTGCCCTCAATGATGCCGTCGCCACATATTTGAGGATACACTTTTATTTACTTTATTTAGTTTTTTGAACTAACGCTGACATGCATGTGTGTGTCTGAACATTTTTAAGAAGTTGGCATTTTTTCTTTCACCTTAGCTGTGGTTTGAGGATGCACTTTATTTTTTGATTACATTTTTGTAACTCAGGCTGACTATGTAAATGCATATAATTTCATATTTGGTATAAATATTTGACTTCACAAATACCTATGCAGGCATGGATCTGTTCAGTAATTTTCAAGAGATGCTCTTTGTATTGTGAATTGATTTGTTTCCTTTGTTATGTAAAGCGAATTAACACTTTTTGTGTGATAGCATAAAAAAATAAACATTTGAAGAACCAAAACCTTTTGTTTGCTGCTATAGATAAGCCAGAGCTACTAAATAATTGTTTTTCATAACTGCATCCAGCATAAGAATAAAGTTGTAAAATCACAAGAATAAAGTCATAAACGACAATAAAGTTACATCCATTTATATTAATTTATTAAAGCATATTATTAATGTGGTGAGAAGCAAAGCCTACGGTACACATTAGCTATTTGCTAGTTTAGTGTTGGATGTGACCTGTCTGGGTTATGTTCTCTGTTGTTTTCCAGCAACAGTTGGTCTCAGATCCTAAATTGCCTCCCAATAATCAAAATCCCTAAACTGGTTTAAATTTTCATGTTTCAACAGAAATTATGCAAGGAATCCTCCTTCTTACTAATATCTTTTAAAAAGTATATTGTTGTCGTAATAATAATGATATTAATAATTGTAAATATTTTTTAGCCTCTCATGGCTGCTTCTGTTTAACATTAAAAAGAAAGGAGACGATAGCAGAAGTAACTCATGATCACCTTTTTTTTCATCTTTTTCTTCTCCTTTTTGCTCAGGTTAGCAAACGGGTCGTCTGCTTCCTCCTGGGCCTGCTGTGCGATCACGTCCTCAGCACTCTGTTGGTCAGAAACCAGAGGAAGAGACGATGACACAGAGCAGAAGGAGGTGAGAGGAGACATGTGGAGGTCAAACGCACCATCATATTGTCTCCATCATCGTCGTCGTCCTCCTCATCGTCGTCCATCTTCTGTTGCCGTACAGCTCCTTTTCCTTTCTGCAGAGTTCAGACACAGGGGGAGGACGCTGCTGGTGAATCAGGGCTCATATGGACCAACCACAGTCCAACCCCCCAGGATCTAAGCTTCTGTATAATCCAGCTGCTCTATGATGTTGGTCAACATCTACGAACACTAGCGGCGCAGCGACTGATCGGCCCTTAGTTCAACATTAAACCAGTCTTAATGCTCTGGAGATTTATTTAACATTTGGGAGGAGGGTTTCGTGTGGAATTTAAAAAGGTTTTTATAGTTTTCACATACATTTATATATATATATATATATATATATACGTGTATATACATATATACAAGTATATATACATATATACAAGTATATATACATATATACAAGTATATACACATATATACAAGTATATACGTGTATATACATATACACGTATATTAGGGCTGCAACAACGAATCGATAAAATCGATAAAAATCGACTTTTAAAAGCGTTGGCAACGAATTTCATCATCAATTAGTTGTGT